AGGGCCAGAACTAGTGTGGTCACTAGGACCATTACACCGCACCACAACCGTCGACTGTGCAATGTAACTCTGGATATCAGTTCTGCGGTCCAGGGACATAATTGTGGCATGACATTGCACCTAAATATCAGTGAATTCGAATTTAAACACGCCTTTAAGATAATATTTTATTAATATATAAACCTATCGAAATACCATATTACAGAATAATATTTCTTGTATAATTATTCCGTTATTAGCTGCAATCTTTGACACGTGAAATTTTTGTGGATTAAATGTGAGAACTAATTATCGGGCCCATCATTCCATCACATAGTTTTTAAATATTTTCTTAATCGATACTACGATCAAAATTGGGCTTTATGTAAAATTAATAGATGGCTAGAATAACCTTATTATGTACTCTTAAAGATCTATTAAAAATACTATAACGCCTACTGCAGTATTTACTGGTAATATCACTTCCCTCATAGTCATGGATGACTAGTTAACGCCTTTCCTTGTAAACAAATTGTATTATAAACTATGTTTATTTTGCAAACTAAATAAATTACTATACGTTTAAACTTATGGACAGTAATGAAATACTTCAAGAGCAATTTTGCCTTAAGTTTTCCTAGGCGCGGAAGCGGAGCGCGGAGAGAGGAACGCGTGGAGAGCGGAATCCTCTTGTCTTAAGCTGGGGTTCCCTAGGCGCGGAAGAGGAGAGCAGAGAGAGGAAAGCGGAGAGCGGATAAGCGATTAACATGGCGTTCCGCTCAGCTTCTAGGAAAACAATAACATCAAAATTACCTATAGTCGGGTTTTCCTAGGCGCGGAAGCGGAGAGCTGAGAGAGGAACGTGGAGAGCGGACTCCACTTGTCTTGGGTAATTTCATGTAATTTAATTTTTTCTAGAAGCGGAGCGGAACACTGTGTTAAGCTCTTTTCCACTCTCCGCGTTCCTCTCTCCGCTCTCCACTTCCGCGCCTAGGAAAACCCAGCTGTAGGTAATTTTAATGTTACTGTTTTCCTATAAGCTGAGCGGAATACCATGTTAAGCTCTTTTCCGCTCTTCGCTTTCCTCTCTCTGCTCTCCTCTTCCGCGTCTTGGAAAACCCGGCTTTACCGTTAAAAGAATATCATACATAAATAAATAAATATATACATACAGTATATGAATTTGAACGGATGGTGTTTTTGGCCTCTAGGGACCTCAAAACGAAAAAGTAAATCGGTCCCGGATCCAGGTCTTACTATGAGACCTACGGTAATAGCTACTTCCCTATAGGGAATTTCGCTAAATGTTAGTATCGCATTGTCATTACATAGATAATTTGAAAAGAGCAAAGTTATAAATATTAAGAATGGCTATTTTATAAGGTACAAGGAATTGCACAACGGAAACCTCAAATTTGCTCGTAAACTAATTACACAAACCAAAGTTCAGTTTTGCAATGACCGGACCAGACCCTAGCAATAACCAGTTAACCAAAACGGTCCAATGTACCGAGAGGCTATCACCACAGTTTAGTGGTAAACACATTATGCTCACCAATTATTAATGTTTACCTCATTTATGGCACTAATACTATTAAATCACTAAAATCTGTTTAATACATTCGCCGTGTTTAAATCTTTTGACTAAAGTAATTAAGCATCAAACTGACATTGTACTAAATTCATTATTTTTTCTTTCAGACTAATGTAAAATTTTTTGTCACTGGGTTAAAACCTGTAGATATATTCTTAAATTTTAATCAATTTGAATATGAAAATTATTCTACGAGAGGCCATAAAAACGACGTAAAATTTTGTGCAAACCAATTTTAGTAATCACATAATAGATGTATACTACTGAACTACAAAATAGCAATAACAGTATCCAGAAAGAATTAGAATATTCGTACAATATAACGTACACTCCAGAATAAAGATTACGCGCAAATCAATGACTGAAAACTGGGTTTAGACTTCACCTGACTTCGAATTAAAAGCGAAAACGGACCCCTCTAAATCTATTAAACTAATTCACAGGCTTCCCAATTTGATACGAATAACTTTGTTACAACAAATGGATCTGGATCGGTCCGTACATGTCGGATTTAATCGGATAACGTTGGTTCGAATTTTCGATGTTTTATTAGCTTAAAATGGTGAAATACAATATAATCCCTCGGTAAAAAAGATCAGCGTTTTAAGGTTATAAGAATTCTCATAGTGAAATGTTCACGTTGACCTTTTTTAATTGTTTAAACAAATACAATTAGTCTTTAAATACTTGTACTCTTTTGAGATATTATAAGGAAGAATTTAATAGATGTTTCAACATAATTTTCAAGAAGATGATTGTGGAATACCAGTCAGGTACTTTTTTTATCGATATAAAATTGTGTTGCCTAACAGTGCATATCGACGATAGCCTTTTGCCCAAGCTCTGTTCCTTCAGAAATTCGGTGATATTATTTGAACAGGTGCCCTTCAATGTGTTCATCAAAACTATACACACATTTCTGCTTTGTTTATACATTATTTAGATGTACTAATTTTCCTACAGTTTCATGAAGAATGATCAAATATCACTCTTGTGCAAAAACATATTAAAGAAGGCTTCAAATAGTATCAATATTAAATAGGCTAGTACATTTGACTATTAATTACTACTATACATTCCTGCCCAATGTTAAAGTTGCCACCAGTGTTTTTATGAAATTTGTCGTAGTTGATGTGAGCCCCCGATAGAGTGCGCTGATCTAAATCACCAATTTCTGTCGAATACAAGGACATTTAACGACGTCTAATGGAATGACTTATTGTGAGCTTTAGAAACTGTGACCCATAAATGTGGTAGAAAATATAATACCCCCGCCGCAGCAAACCTGCCGACTAAGCGAATTTCCATTTGTCTTTATTGATTTTTAATTAAATATATTTTAATAACATTAGGTTTAACGAGTACCTAGGTTTGCTGCTACAAGGAAACTAATAAAGTGTGTTTTTTGTAAAATATTGATAGCTTAGTACAAAATAAATAAATTTGATCAAAATACAAAATATATCCATACACAAGCAAAATACAACATTTTATTGACAATATTCTCCATAAGAATAACATAGGAATTTTAAATTTACATTTTTTTTAATTTTCTCCGTTACTATTAACCGAACAAAAATACTTTTATATACTTTTTAAGCTCTTTAAAAAGGTCTAAAGAGAAATTGGGAAATTTTGTGTTTTGAGGGTCAAAAGTGAGAAAACCCAATTTTTACCCCATAAAACCCCCCGTAAAGCCCCGTTCCCATGGTCCGATCATGCTGGTTCGCGAACTCATTCAAGTTTATCCCGCTTTACTCCTTTAAACCAAATTTCATCAAAATCGGACAAAAATTACTCAAATTATCACGTTCACGGACGTATATATATATGTATATATAAGTCTATATATATATATATATATCTATATATATATATATATATATATATATATATATATATATATATATATATATATATATATACAATTAGATAGTTGGGTTTACATAAATAAAAATTTGAACGAATGGTGTTTTTGGCCTCTGGGGACATCAAAATGAAAAAGTAAATCGGTCCCGGGTCTAGGTCTTACCGTGCCACCTACGGTAATAGCTACTTCCCTATAGGGAAATTCGCTAAAATGTAAACCCTAGCACATTCTGTGACTAGCTCACTTAACTAACTACGTTCTTTTAAAATAAAAATTGGTGACAAGTGTTCCATATAGATGGGATGTCTACTTCAGTATCCAATAGTAAATGATAGTACTAAATTATTGAAAAACTACGTTATCAGGGGAGTCCAAGTCGAAATTTTTTAATTTTTTTCAATTTTTACTTTTTATGTTCTTTTTATAGCACAGAATTTCTTCTTAAAAATGGTATACTTACATTTTTGATTACTAACCTAGAAATTTATGAAAAAATATATTTTCCAGAACATTGCAGTGACGTTTAAAGGTAAAACTAGTAGATCCTTGGTTGACCCTTGGAGGCTTTTCTTGCTGATTTCCGCAACTTTACTTTTTTAAACTTTAATGTCATTTTTTTCAGGACTGGTAATACATACAGCTGTGAAATTTTTACCATGTAGTCTTAGTCACTTATTCTAAACACAGACATAAGGAATTTTTCATATCTTTAGTAGAAGCATGTAAAAAAAGATAATAAATTTTATTTTTCAAACAAATTTTTGGTAAATCTATAAAAACCCATAAAATAGTTATTTTTAATTTTAAATGAAAAATCATGTGTCTGTGACTAGATAATTAGTTAATGTAAAAGTATACCAAGTTTCACTATCCTACCTATTCTAACTCCTGAGAAAAGTGACATTTAGTTAACATTACTAAAGATAGGACCTCGGACTCCCCTAAGGAAATGTATTAACCTTTTCTTAAATTTGCAGAGCATATTAGAAATTACAACGATTCAATCAACCACATTTAGATACGCATTCAGTTTTAATAGCTTTACTATACTAAGATAATACTCATTGAAATTTATTGTAAGTGTAAAATATTCATACTTTCCTAGAAATCTACTTGAAACGTTAAACAACAAGAATAAATTGTTCAAAAAATAAACGAGCTCAATAAACTTTAAGATGTCACACCTCAATTTTGTAAAGCTTGTAAACTGTAGGTATACGGAATATTCTTCAACACTTTTCTGTGTTCATTTGACGCTAGCATACATTATAAACTCGTGTATAAAAACAACTCGATAAAGAATACGGCAAAGAACCCACAGTCTGCCCTTTGCTAAGATAAGCCGAGTCCCCAAGTGTGATTACTGTTGAAGAGATTGGCTTGAGAGCTGTAAGCATGCATAGATAGTGGTGATATGGGGAGTAACAGGTCCTCTGTGTCAGACCCCCCCGGGGGGGGTTATAGGGGGGGGGTCAGCTGGTGGCAGCTTGGGGTTGTGGGGGGGGGGGGGGGTTGGTAAGGAAGGAACGCTCAGTCTCTCGCTAGCCTTTGAAGTGTGCGGTTTTATGGTGTTCGGTGAAATGTCTGTGAGACCACGACTGCTGTATGGCTACCTTTACGTGTTTTTAACTGGTGAGTCATTACAATGTTATGTAACATCACATTGTTTATCATGACACGATGTAATTGCATAACACTAAATAGCTGAGGGTTTATAGTCGCCGGTTTGGACAAAGTTCCTAAAAAATAGTAAATTAGTCACATGATCTAAACTGGAGACAACTGTCTTTGAACATTGGGGTGTTATTAAACTAGTTGTTCTACTCTTGCATTGCAATCTAACATAATAATGTGGGTATCTAAATCTACCGTACAAAAATAGTTCCACACACTGTGCAAATTATAGTCTACAGGTAAATTACAATCATATTGCTCATTTGAATGCAAATATCTTGTGTACTTTCAGTAATCTGTTTGACAGTATCAAATCTAATTACTATATCGCAATGAAAATGTCTATAATGAAAATAAAAAATAATAACTCAGCGATGAAGTAAACAAACTATAAAAAACCAACGGCTGATCCAATTTAAGTATTTTTAATGTGATTAATTACAACCTTTTAATTTAGGTTCGTGCCCTTAGGAGTTAATTGAAAAACTAACATTGTACGGGGAAGTTCCTCATCAAGTCCTTTCAGTCAAGTATGCGTTTGATAGATGTGTGGCTTACAGTTTTTCTCAAAAGTTTCTCGATCCTTATTAGCCTTAGATGGCACCAGCTGATTAACCAGCTGATAATTATCAGTAACAAAGGGAACACTTGGCAACTATTAATTCAAAACTCAATCCCCACTCATCTTCGCCTTAACATCATGGTGTTTTAGTGTCGTAGACGTCTAATCTAGTCTAAAATATTTAATGTTTGTATTAAATTTGATCAAGATTTCAACGAAAGAACGAACCGGCAATAGTGTTAGGTGAACTATAGTAGTTGTCTAAACACATTTAAAAATAGTTGTAGGATGATCTTCTCAAGGTGTCCCCCAATAATCAAAAAACCTTTTGATTTAAGCCCTTTTTACATTAATTGTGTATGCTTTAATTGTGTGTAATCCATAAATTAATTAAGTGGTGAATATTGGCTTCGTAGTTTGATGGATTTTTGCTAGTAAATGCCTTGCTCATTATACTACTTTTGGTTGGTAATCATCAAAATGTTGAAGTGTACAAACACTTTATAAACAACGCTTAAATCAAACAGACACAGTATTTTGTTTAGGTATTGAGTTTGTTTTTAAGATTTGTAATAGTTTTCACCCGATGACAGATACAAGCTAATGAGTTAAAACTGGTAAAACATAAACTGTAGGCTAATAATGTAATGTATAACACTTAAATATTATATTATTTAATAAGGGATTTAATTCAATTTTGTAAAATAAACTAACCATTCTGATTTATCTATATTGATGAATAATCTTGCACTAATGCTAAATCATCCAGGAGTTATATCACTATTCACCAGAATTTAGCTGTAATCTCGCTGATGCTTAATCGTGCATTATCAGAATCAACACAGTGAAATCAACATTACCATATTTTAACCTAACGTAAGGTTGTAAGCTAAATTTCTGTTTTATATTTTGATTATTAAGTAAGTTAATTTTATGGTTATGTTGACCCCTAAAAGAAAATTGAAGGTATATTAATGGCCAACCATTGTTTTATGGGCAGTTTATGGAAAGGATATAACCTATTTCTGCACATACAGCAATTGTAAATAGTATTGTATCATATTTTTCTGACCAGATATATATTCTTATACAATGTAACACATTCTTATACAACTCTTATAACACATACACCAATCACAATTGATTTACATTCTCTGTATGTGATTGTATTAACGAATTTAAATACTTGAAGTACAAGGGAACCTCAGAATAATGAAAGTGTCTTATTACCGGGTGATTTTTTTATCCTACAACTCTGTTTGAGATACGAGGGCTTCATAGAAATGGTAAAACTAGGTGTACAACGCAGTTGTCTGCTTGCAATATTGAGCGGAGCCAGCATATTAATTCAATGTCAATGATATATTTGGTTCGCATAAATGTAATGCCTATTTACAGATTCTAAAGTCAATGGTACGTCCGGTTCACGTAGACGGATTGTTTACTTGTAGTATCCAAACTCAATGGTGCATGTAAATGAATAGTCTACTTGCAGTATCCTAAATCAATGGTCCATTTATTTCGTTCATTTAGATAAAATGCCGAATTGCAGTATCCGAAGTCAATGGTAGGCTTAGGCATACTTCTGCTTCACTTATATGGGATGTCTATGTGCAGTATTCAAAGTACGTCAAATGATACGTCGGGTTCATGTCAAAGAATTGTCTAATTGCAGTATTGAAACTATGAGTGTTATATTTGGTTCGCCTTAATGGAATTCCTATTTGTAGACTGCAAATAGGAATTGCAGTGCATATTCAAAGTCTACATTAATGGCACGTCTTGCTCACATAAAATACTGAAAAAGTTATTTACAGAATCCAAACGCAATATGGTGCATTCGCCTAATTCTGGCAACCCTTATGGTTATTCATTTTGTAGTAAATTATGCTCAATGCTATTAATCAAAAGCAGGAGTGTAGGATAAGAGAAGTTGAAGTCAATGATATAAGAGCTTTGCTACGCTCTGCTCAATAATTTCTATATCCTGCAAATGAATCATGGTAAACCTATGCGATACATGCATTATTAAAAGGCAATAACGATTATTATTTGAGATCGCAGGTTCGAATCTCCTCGGCGGCCTTAAAATTTTGCTTCTGATTTTGTTAGAATATGATTTTCTCTTAACTTCACTGTTCAGTTTTTTTTTAGACATTTATAACTTAATTTTGTGATAAGAATGCATTTTTTATAAATACATTAACTTTTTGTGTGTAATCATTCCCTAACAGCGAATAATTGAGATAGGCTAATCGATTTTTAAAATTATCAATTCGTTTTTAAGTATAGACATATAACTTAGGTCTAGTTTTATTTTAGCAGTTAAAAGTAAGAAATATATTGTCAACCACTTTCAAATTTTCCCTTTGGTGCAGTAAAATTTATCAATACGACTATAATGTAGACTAAAAAGAATAAGTGAAAACTTTAGGAATTGGTTTACTGGTACGTTTCATTACATTTATAATAACATCAAAATAAGCAGTTTGCTTAACTTGAAACCTTATTTTTCCTAGTAGCTGGAACCTATATATTTTTCCAACTTAACTTGTTAAAAAGAACATAACGATTATACAATGAAATATAAACGTCATGATTTTAATCACTCAATATAGAACTGATTGTTAATCAATTCGTATTACATGCAATTAACTAATTTACTCTTTAGTATTTATCACATTTTTTTCTTTTGTACTGTATTTATAATGTGGTAGATTTGTTGACTAACATATGTTGAGGCTCTTGTTTACTTTTTAGTGTTGACTCGCAAATAATGTCATGGCAACCAATTAACCCATAAGGCCCATGTTAAATTTCTAAAAGTTTGCATTCATGTAGGGAAAATTCCTATGGTCCGATTTGTACCATTTCAGATTTATACCTTCCCATGGTTGGGTACTATGACTGTGTTAAATTTCGTGAAGATCGCTTCAGCCGTTCAGGAGGAGTATTTGTAAAACAAAAGCAGGAGTGTAGTATAAGAGCTTCGCTCGCTTCGCTCAAAAATACACACAAAGCAATAAGATAAATAAATGCTGTTTTATCAATGGCACAGTGTGTAATTTTAATCCACGATTAAACTCAACAAGAAATAATTTTGGACAGGCTAAACTATGTTATATTACATCTCAGATAACAGTTAAAATATTTTAAAGTAACTTTTGTACGGTTAAATTTTAAAACATGATGCATTTTGGAAAGTATTATTCATGGGGGAACCTTAAGCGTCCTCAAAATAATAAAGTTAGGCAAATTTAAAAATGTGAAAACTATATTTTAATTCCATCCCAAGCTTTATCTCATAGTCTCATTTTGTACAAAAAATGCACCTTTCCGCAGTAATATCATGATAATTCGACCAATTCGTTATTTACAAGAAAAAACGTGGTTCGGATTCCACTATAAACTGAAGATCCCTTAGTTGCCATTAGCTGTATGGGCTATTAATTAACAGCTGTGACTAAGGAACATGTCACAAGGTCACAAGACTACAAGATCTAAGATTAGGTCAACAAGACTACAAGATCACGCCACTCATCCTACACTCATTCTTCACTCAAATGTGGGTTAAAATACTCAAATGTGGCGTCCTCATCTTATATAACTGATTAATTTAATGGATAATAAATGAGGAACCAGCTGGTCTTAATCAGCAACAATGCTTCTCAAAGCATATCTCACTTTCCAAACTTAATTTTCACCCATACTCAGCTTAAATTAAGCACCACGGCGTCACTGTTTTTGAGAAACTATTAGGATTATGCTGTTTAATTATGTGTTCTTAATAGTTCAAGTAAACAGTGTAAGTAACGATCGTGTAACGTTAGTATAGGCCTTTAAAACTTCTACGAGTGTCGAATTATGCGAGTTGTACACTACTTTACCTACGACACACTCTTAAGTGTTACCTCCTCACTCATTATTTTATTATTTATCTGAATAAGCATAACGACTTTATTTATTTTTGTGTGTTTTCAACGGAAATCAAATTGGTAACGTTTTTAAAACGGAATGGTCCAAACCTTGGTCTTGTTTCAATAAATAATAAATAATCAAAAATGTCTTTATTAATTTATTACGTAATATCTTACGTTGACATTTTGTTAGACGGCATATTAAAATCACAACCCAATGGCTAATTGCATCTGGTTCTGGAAACGATCTTTCTTGGGATCTTACTAGCGACCTCCAGATTTGAAGGCGAGCACTAAAACCACTCGGTTACCCAGAATTCTGCTTACCATAAGGATGCAATATTGTATATTGAATTTTCCGCACTAGGGGCGAAAGTAAATATGAAAAAAGAATAAATCATTCTAGATATATATCCTTAGAAACGTATTACTTAAGCAGGTCAAATATAGTTGATGAGAAGAAACTTGCTCATTATTTT